AATCCAAAAATAAATATTTCACCATACCGGTTTCCTCCCATCATACTCTTGAGAAAATTCTTCCAAAGACAAGTCTCCCCTTCTTTCCACATTTCCATCATCAAAATTAAAACCACTCAACGTGGTGTGGCACCTGTATAATCTTTTATACAAAAACAAAGAGCTGAACCCTGCAAACAAGCATAAAAAATATACTTGAGCTAAATAAGAGTCCTAAAACTAAAAGTCATCACTATAAAATTCAAGAAACCACGCCATCATCATCACAACTTTACCATTAAAATGAAGTGGTTTTCCGCAACGTTCTTGATATTCTTCCGGAACATTCTCTCTGAAAACCAAAAACAATCAGAGAACGATAACGCTACGAATTCAATCATTCTTGTTTCAAATTCTAAATAAATATAAAAGTAAAAATCATTCTTGCAAATGTGAAATGCTTAGAGCCTTAAACTTACACATCCAGTGCAGTTTTCTTCCAGGAGCCTTTATACTGAAGCGGACCGTTTACCCTGTTAAGGCACAGGCTCATCCACAGTGGTTCCTCGTTGCATAAAATGTACATCACACTGCGCATGTATATCAACCATAAATAATCGATTCAAAATCAAACAGATTCAATTCTCACAATTTAATGACAGAAACGTAAGAAAAATTAATCAAAACATAAATTCAACAAAAAATAATTTAAAATTAGACGATAGAGCAATATATATATATATATATATATATGCGAACCTGCTAACACAGGCGAAGCGAGCGACATCGCGAGGAGTGAGATTGTCTAAAATTGAGCAGATGAGTTCATCAGGGAAGACTTGAAGATTGCCTAGACCTTCAGCTCTGCGATCTTTAATTTCTAAAGCCTCAACTCGAGAAATCTCCATGGATGAGATGATGAACCTTGGAATAAGAAATTATTTGCTATTAGCTGTTTGTGCCTTTATAAATGTTTCCGCGTATTTTAAACGCGGCGTTTTGGACACTGCACGCCTTCTACTCGTGTCTTATCCCACCTGCTCGCTTATGCGCGTAGAATTCACTCCACGCCCGACGTAAGATATATTTGCTTGTCTTTCTCCGTCCGTCGCTATTTCCACGAAGGAAATGGCGTTGCTTCTACGCGTGGGAAAATACCGTTATGCCCGTGTAGAAGAGATTGCTTTGTTTCTCCCTCCCCAGTGCTATTTCAACTGTTTGACGGATGGCTGCTTCGATTCTTGCAGGGAAGCATTACGGAAAAGGCATTTTGACCTTCATGTTTTATTTGCCACCGCGGAAAAGGTTGGATTTGGGTTTAGGTTTATACTATATAATTGCCCGCGTTATTACACTGTAGGATTAATTTAAAAAAAAAATTACAGATACCATGGTATTGAATTGATTTCGACGTGGCTAGACGATATTAACATGCTTAACGAAAAAATAAATAATTTGTAGAAGAATATACTTTAATTGATTAAATTTTAAATTTTTATTTTAAAAATTATTAGTTTAAGCGGTAAAAACCTTAAAATCATTAGAAATAGATTTGTGGGATTAGTCGATATATATTCAAATTGACCCGGACATCTATATTAATAAAAATAAATACATAATATGTAAAAATATAATGTGATTCTAAATAAATATTTAAGAAGATTTTTTTAATAAATATTAAAACAGTAATATATTTGATCGATTTGGATCAATTTGAGTTATTGTTTATGAAGCTCAATTTTCATTGAATTCAATGTTGAATGATAATATTGAAAGAAAAACAAAAAAAAATAATACAAGTCAACCCGCATTAATTCGTTAAACTCATGACCCGAGTCATGAGATCAGGATAATCTAATAAAAAATAAATTAAAATAAATTATAAAATTCAGTTTCCAATCAACTTAGTATTAAAAGATGAAATTAAAAAGAAAAAATTAATTAAAAAATATACAAAAAATTTAAGTTAACCAAAGTTAACTTCATAAAAAGTATATCAAAATAAATTATGAAGTTTAATTTTATGTCAACCCAAATGATAAAAAATAAAATTAAAAAAAAATTAATTAGAAAAGGAAAAAAATTAGATAATCTATTAAATCTACCGTCTGATGAATATGAGATAATCTTATAAAAAAATAAATTGAAAAAATTATAAATTTTAATATTTAATAAATTTAATATTAAAAAATAAAATTAAAAAAATACATATAAATCAGGAAAAAAATAAAATAAAAAATACTATTCAAACAAATAATATTATATAATTAGGGTATAATAAAACCACCTCCTTCTTCTTTATTTTGTTAAATTTTTGTTATTTGCATTTTCTAAGCTGGGCTCTATACCTCTACCCATACTGAAGTTAACTTTGTAAATTACTCATGAAGCTATTTTGATAATATGCAAAGCTCCGGGTCGAGTAAAAAAATTTGAAAGTAATAAAAAAATACATATAGGTTATATAGAATTATTTAATAGTATTGTTAAATCTAGTTTAGGAAGTAAATTTTAAAACATTTTTTATTCAATTTGTTGCCAAACGCTATAGAATAATGATCTAGAAAATAAATTAAATTAAATTTTTGAAATGAACATTTTATTTTTATATTTAATTTTATTCAAAGAAATTTTTTTTAAAAAAACTAAATTTAATGTATAACAACAAATAAAATAACTCAAGATAATCGGGTCATTTTAGAAATTAGTAAAAGATTATATAGAAAACAAATAAAAAACAATAAAGCTCAATTTATAATTAAATAAATATTAAAGGATGAAACTGAAAAAACATAAGTTTTTTTTTAAAAAAAAATTAGATGAATCTTTTTAACTGGATTAATCTCTAAAACTTATAACTTGTAAAATTCCAAATCTAGATTTAATAAAAACTCAATTCTCAACCAATTTAATATTGAAAGATGAAACTAAAAAAGATATCAATTTAAAAAATTTATCCAAGTTAAAAAAACGAGAATCAAAACTAACAAGAAAAAAGAAACATTAAAAGGAGGATGGGATTGTAAAATAAGTTCAATTTAAAAAATTATATCAAATAAAAAAAATAACAATAAAAAAATAATAATCATATATAATATATAAAAAAATCAAAAAAGGATGAAATTGAAAACAAAAACTCTGCCAATAAATTATTTTAAATAAAATAAATAATAATTAAAAAAATAAAAACAAAATATAAAAAAATAAATTGAAATCTTGCTTTGAAAACTTTAAGGGTTATATATAAAAATCAAGATGTAGAGAGGGGGGAGAATAACCATCAACACTAAACTAGATTTTTGTTAAGTATAGGTGTCATTCAGGGATGAAAGGTACATCTAGACGAGTTCAACACTATCTTAAAAGTTGATATATAGCTGCTACGCTATACCGCCCAAAGAATATGACAACAACCCATAAATGCTACGCAAAAGTTGTGTGTAATGCACATACTAACTAATTTTTTAATAAAATTTATATTTATTAAAATAATAAATTGTTCTCAAGTCAATCTAATTATAATAGAAAAATATAATGAAAATAGAAAAAGATCATACAAGTTAATTTTTTATATATATTTTTAAAGATAATCTAGTAATTTTATTGTGCTATGAGAAAATAAAAATTCAGAATCTCCCTAAATCCCAATTAATTAAAATTTGCTTTTAAATAAAGTAGTTAATCATGTTAAAAAACGTGAAAAAGACCTATATGCTCCTAAGCAATGACCAGAATTACGTGAAAACATCATTCTAAGCTCAACAGCTAATCTAATTTTTTTTTTTTGCGGGAAGAACAAACTAGTAATTGTACTATAGCAATCAAAATCAACATGTGTCTGTGAATACAGTAAAACACCCTTCGATTTTTTTTCAATATATATATAGCTTTGTTTCTACGCGCAAGGATACCGGTGCTGGGTCCTTGTGCATGCGCATGGCAAATGTGGCCATCTAGTAGGGTTTTTTTTTTTTTTTTCATTTGTCTTTTTTTTTTTCCCGTTTGAAAAAGGGTAGGTTTTTTGAGAAAAAATAAAATATGTCTAGTTTTAAAAAAGATAGAGAGATTGATGAAAATACGAGAAAATACAGAATTTGTTAATAATCACACCTGATTATACTATACGATGGCATCATTTGTATTGAGCTTCAATTAATAATCAAGACACAATTAACGAATACGAAGTGTGTTGTTTTAGTATGTATAGGAATGGAAATGATTCATGGGAATCAAATTTTGTTTTGGTATATGTATGGCTTAAATACAGAATTATTTTTTCTTATCAGTGTGGTCTAATTGAATGCTATTTACTTTCACGACATAAGAGAGATTGATTATCAGGATTCAAGTCGACATACATCGTTAGATCATAAACTGTGGTTTTTTTTGTTTTTTCTAATTTCGCGGAGGGACAGCAAAAGAAACACCTAAATCATCTCTAGTATAAGGTAACAGAACCCAGAGGAGGAGACCAGACTTGAGCATCCCATTTGGTTGTCTTCCCTGACACAGTATACGAAGCAACAGACAATTACAACGTCATCAGAGAGAGCTTGACACAAGTGAGAGAGAGTTCGTGGCGGACGTGCTTGCCCCTGTATCTTCTCTCGAGTCATTCTCACCTACCACCTGTCTGCATACCATCCCCACGCGTGTTCTAGGCCAAATCGAATAACTTTGAAACCCTGGCTTTGCAAGCTAGCATATCAGTAGCAAGACTAATGAACAGATAACCACCTTCCCCCGGCATCTATGAGCAACCCGCTCTTTCCATGTGTCTTGGAATTGAAAATGGAGATGTACAGCACACGAAAAGGATGAAGATCTGTTGATTGGCTGGTTGGGGGATATAGAATAAATTCTCTTCTCTGGACGGACGGGCACATGATAGGTTGAATAAATCAAAGATAAAGAAAATAGAAGGGGAAAAAGCAAAAGGAACAAATGAATCTTCCTGTTCCCTCAACAACCACCCATCTAAACAAGATGATCAGCACTTCTCCATTTGAAAGATCCACAGGTCATTTTGAAATGCAGTCTGTCTTTATTTCCATGTTCTTCAAGGTCTCAAATATCATTGTCCTCCAGTATTCACATACATGACATGAGGCAACACAACATAAATTAACTCAACATACATGACATGTCTTCCAGTATACACAATACAGCCACTAATAACTCGGTAAAACGAACAAATATATTGCAGCGCCTTGGCAGTCATTCTACAGCAATGCCGGTGCAATAGAAGGTTGTAATCCAATCCTCCTCTTTCTAAGACGCTCTGCAATGATGAATGCAAGCTCTAGAGATTGTGAAGCATTGAGCCTGGGATCACAATGGGTGTGGTAGCGTGAACTCAAATCATCAAATGTCACAGCCCGTGATCCACCAATGCACTCTGTCACATTCTGACCAGTCATCTCAAGATGAACTCCTCCTGGGTGGCTTCCTTCTTGCTCGTGCACATCAAAGAAGGCTCTCACCTCCGCCTGTCCAATTAAGAATGTAACAATGTCAGGGTATGCATAGTGGAAATAATGCCATCATGCTGTCAACCCGTGTTTCTATTGACAACCACTATCATTCATAATTTTCTTACCTCCCATCAAACTTTAACACTTTATTCTTAAATCTTACCCCCTTAACAAGTTTTTTCCATACCTAAGCTATACCAAACACAACCTAAGGAACATCAGAATTCTTTTTTGAAAAAAAGATTTCAAACTCAACTTGCAGACAAAGTTCTACATACCTACGCTTAATCATTGGTTACCCGCGTAAGGAATCTGATCCAACTATTCCACCCCAAGGCCTCAGAGAAGCAGTCACTTTCTCACCTACCAATTCAGCTCAACTAACACTCAATCGTAAACTATTCAAGACTCGTTACATGAATCCTTATTCTCCATTATTTTTAGTTTAGTGTATTATTCCACCTACCGCACCTAAATTCTATTGCCTTCCAATTTAATTAATTCTAGGAAATCAAGTGCAGGCTCTTATTCAAAGCGACAGAATGCCCCGCCATTTACAACTTTGGAACTAGTTGCTCCAGTTCATGAATGAACCAAAATTTATTGCACTTCTTAGGAGATAATTCAATTGCAAGCAATGAATGGAGCATGACCCATTTTACAAGGATGAGATGACAAATTGTTTCTCCTATGAATTGCCACCAAAGCTAAAGCAAAAAAGCTAATTTAGAGTGTGTAGTCCTATAATCAATGTACTAACAAAAAGTGAAATATCATTTATAGCATATACGCCCACTTCGTTTGACTCATATTAGGGAAACTCTCGTTTTCTCATCAGTTCCAGTAAACAGGATTACAGGGGCCAAAGTTTTTCTCTTTCCTTTTCGACTTCACATTTGGTTTATTTCTCAACTTATATTCTTTCATCTCGTTTGGTTTTTGTATTATTCCCTGTGCTGAAGTGTGCAATTTCCTTCAAATAATAAACAGCCCTTAATAGCACAAATTTAAACTCCTAAATATTCTTTCACCTCCTCATATAAAATCCACATAATGCTAATCAATTAATGCAAGCTAAGATATAAGCATCATACCCTGATGGCATCAAATGGACGAGTTTTCAGCCCACATGGAGCCTTTATGGTGTTTCCATGCATAGGATCACTGACCCATGTGACAATTTGTCCTGCCCTGCGAACAGCCCTAATTAGATGAGGAAGCTTCACCCTCATGTTCTCAGCTCCCATTCTTGTAATGATTGTTATTCGGCCAGGTTTATTTTGAGGATTCAAAATCTCTATGAGCTTAACTAGCTCGTTTGGATCCATCTTATCACTGACCTGGAGCACAAAAGCCAAATTCCATAAGAAACTCGAAAGCACCAAATGCATGTGTCAAATTACAAGATAAAAATTGAAATTAAGAATCGTAATATTATAATGGTCCTCTCAGATTTAGCTTATTGCCAGGTTCTAATTCGGATCAGACTGGCATAAAAGAAGAAACACAATTCCATAAGCATAATTACATGAACACCACTTAGGCCAGCATCTTGAAAATATGCATTTGAGTGGTTAATTTAAGGAATATTGATAAACTTATGTGGTCAGGATCACAGTCAGAAACAAAGAGAGCCAGAACAAAAACAACCAAGAACCATCTCAAGAAACGTAGATGAATTGGTTAAAAGTTAGGTCTCCTAAACAGGTTCTCCCTGGTATTTCTAGCCACCAAAGATGAATTACTGAAACATGAATTGGCTAACTAGATTAGAAAGAAGAATGCAAGTTACCTTAATTCCTAGGGGATTTGCGACTCCTCTCAAAAACTCAACATGAGCACCACCTAGCTGCCTGGTACGCTCACCAGCCCAGAGAAAATGGGCTGAGCAGTCATAGTAAAGACCCGAGGTTGAATCCAGCCTAGTAAGTGACTGCTCATATGGCAATAGCAAGCATTCATGGGATGTCCAAAACTCAGTTGTTGTCATGATAGGATGATCAACAGTGAGACCAGCTGCGGCCATGAATCCAAGGGCCTCATCAACCCGGTGGGCAAGTTCCCGGTACCTATCATACGAAGACAGAGATGTATATTATAGAAGCAAAAAGTGACCCAATTATGATATGACAATTAGTAATGAACTGAAATAATTTCCATCCAAGAGAAACATATTATAGAAGCAAAATCTAAACCAATAATGGTATGAATTAAGAAATGAAATGAACTCATTTTCATCCAAGATTCTGGTAAACATCTTTAAGAAAACCCATCATAACTAAAACAAGTGAATTAGAAATTGCAGGGGAAAAAAAAGAAAAAAGATTACACTTTTAAACAAGAAGTTTAAAACCATTCAGATCAGAGCATATTGAAGAACACGTGCAAAGGATGCTAGAATCTAAATTCCCTAAGGCCAGTCATCGGGAAAATGTAAAAGAGGACCTTGATTGCCTTGTGCGGATAATCCAGGTATAGATAATTGTGATCGTGAAACTCGCCAGCGATATTGATCAAATAATACACATGGAGGACATATCACTATCTACTGCGTACCCACCAAAGGTGGTTGAGGTCCGGAAGGACCGGAAATGTACAAACTACTTCATCAAACTCTAAAATAGCAGCAAACGTAAATAATAAAAAATCAATTGATTCTTCAAAATAAAACAGTGAGCTTTTTGCTTGGCCGTATATGAAAACTCCATCTGAAAAAACATCATAACCAATCCAAGAGTCAGATAAAACCATTTACCTATCTCCCTGCTCACTGTGCTCGGTGAAATCCAAATTCCACTGAGTAACCCTCTGCATAGCTGCATAACCACCAGTAGCAAACGCCCTGAGGAGATTCAAAGTGGCTGCTGATTGACAGTAAGCCCTGATCATCCTCTGTGGGTCAGGTATCCTTGACTTCTCATCAAAAGCATCTCCATTCACATTATCCCCTCTGTAACTTGGTAATTTCACTCCATTTTTTTCCTCCAGTGGATCCGATCTTGGCTTCGCAAACTGCCCTGCCATCCTCCCCACCTATAAAACAATATCCACATTTATCCCAGTTTAAATAAAATTCAATTCTCAAAAAGAAAAGGAAAAGAAGAGAAAAGAAGCAATCTATCATATAATTCTATATTGTAACACTAATAACTCTCCTTTAAGAGGAAAAAAAAAGACCTTGATAACGGGCATTTGACCACCGAACATCAAAACAGCACCCATTTGAAGAAGAATCCTGAAAGTGTCCCTAATATTATTAGCATTGAACTCTTTAAAACTCTCAGCACAGTCACCTCCTTGCAGCAAAAACGCATTGCCCATAGCAGCCTCAGCGAGCCTCTCCTCTAAATTCCTGGCCTCACCAGCGAAAACAATCGGAGGAAAGGTGTCGAGGGTTTTGAGAACCGAATCCAGTTCTTCTTTGTTAGGGTATTCAGGGAGTTGCAAGGCCTTCTTGGATTTCCAGCTTTCAACAGTCCATTTCCCAGTACCCACATTGGTTGTTGGAGCAACGGTTGCTGCTTTAGTGGATGTTGCTGCAGGTGTTTTAATGGGTGATGGTGATTTGGAAGGATCAGCTGAGTGTACAGCGGAGATGTGGAGGATGGATCTGGAAGGTTTGGTGGTGAAGAAACAAGGATGATGGGGCTTGTTAGAGGGGATTAAGGATTTGGTAGGGATTATGGAACTGCTAGTTAGAGACATTGTTGTTGTTTTTGTCCAGTTTTGGAACACAAAAAGAGAGGCTTGTGTTTTGTGTTTGTGAACGGAAGAGGAGAGGAGAGGGTACCTGAAGATATGGTTGAGAAACAAACGAGGATTTTATAGGGATGTTTGTTTGGTGCAAGAGAAGAAACAAAGGGACCGGGGAGAGGGTCCAAGGAATCTGGTAAGGGACGTGGTGGTGGTAGTTAAGGGTGTTTTCGGGAATATGCAAAGTATTTAGGGTGTATTTTTGGAAACTTGGAAAAAGTTGGGAGGAAAGTCAATTTAGCTTTGCCCTTGTTCAAGTGAATTTTGTTCATTACACTTCTTCACCGACTATTCGCCGCTTATTAGAGGCAGAGCCAGTGGCGGCTGGCTTTGTTGCTTGCTTCGAGTTTTGCCATGAATCTATTAGAAAATTATGAAATCCAGATCTAAGGCATTGAAGAAAATCCATCTTAAGATATATTTTCTTTGAACATTTCTTTATATATTTTGCTTACAAAATATTTGTTACCATGTATAGCAACTAAAAAATTAAATTATTTATATTTGAGTTTTTATTATTATGATAAGTTTACAGTGGTTTCAAACCGAAACCAAAACCAAAACATATGTTAATTTATTATTATATTTATATTTAAAATAAAATATTAAATCATGTAATTCAATTCAATTCAATTGTGTAGAATTCCAATAAAAAAATAAATCATTAATCTTGATTATTTTAAACTTGATTTAAAAATTATTTTTGTTTCAGAAATCTTTTTTATATTACAAAAACCCTTATAAATAGCCAATCTCGTACTTGCAAAGAAAACAAGTAACTAACAACGTGGTTATTTAGCAAGTCACTCCACTATAGGCAGGGTAAAAAACATTGCGAGGAGGCAGCGAAGGAAAAGTTGCAAGCTAGTCTCTCGCTGTCCAAAAGCTGGTCTCTAGCAAATCATAAAATCTGCTATCTGATTTGTTTTTGTATCTTTTTTATGAATTATTTTTTTTTAGAATTCAAATCAATATCCTTCAAAAAATTCTAAATATCAAAATTAATTTTACCATATGAATTCAATTAATTCACAAGATTTCATATGGGTTGTTAGTTACAATGTCAGAGCTTCTTTTTTTTTAGTAACCCAAGATCTAACAAATTTTCCAAAAATTTATAAATTCTTTTTAATGAAATTTAGCTTTCACTTATTTTATTATTGTGCGACAAGTTTTGGTAAATAAAAGAAAACTAAAAAAAGAAGTGAAATGATGCGCAGGGTACAAGGGAGGGACCACGCCACAAACACGACTTCTCCAAAGTAATACTTTCCCATCCGAGACAAACCCCCGATCTTTCATAATTCATAACAAATCAGGAAATATCAGCCTAAAACCTCTGTTTTTTTTTTTGGCAGGTAAGATTCAGCACGTGGATCCACGCGTTGTTACCGTCTAGCACCTCCTTCACTGTCCGTGCATGAAGCCACTCACCACTACTTTCCAGATCAGTTTCAACAGCTTCTGGTCCGCGTTAGCAGCTCCGAAGGTCGCCTTCGAACCCTAAACAGATCGTTTTGTTTTTTTATAACTATAATATTAATGTTTTTTCTTTATTTGTTGGATAATTTGTAATATCATTGATTTTTTTTATGTATCTATTGATTTGTAATATTATTAATTATTGTTTACATGGTTGAAGTGTTGTGGTTCCAATGTCATTGTGTGTCAACCCGAGGGTCCCCGGGGTACGAAGTCACCTAGGAATTGATATTTTTGTTCGAGGTTAAGGCTAAAGTTGAAACAAATATTTCTAATTTATTTTGTGTTAGATTTTTTTTTTAATGTTTGTTATGTAGCGTATTCATTATTTTTTATTCAAGAAATCGATCTAGGATTAAGCTGTCAGTGTTGACAATTAATTAGATAATAGAATTGGTTATTGTTTATTTCAGGATTAAATTTGAATTTGAATGTTGACTATTAAATAATAAATTAAATCGGTGAATAAATATTCATGCACCAGGATTAAGGATTAATGACGTGCTCTTGGTTCTTATCTTTAAAAGTTGATTATTGGGTATTTAAATTAACAACTAACTCAGATCCAGGATTAGGCTACCTGTTAATCAACCTGTTCTTGGTTCCTGTCATGTGGAATGAAGGCGAGGGGCTGTGTGAGGGTGGTGGTTCGGTTGAAGGATTTGCTATCACAGTTGGAGGAAAGGAAGGCAGTGATGGCTGAAAGGGAAGGGACTGTCAGTGGTAGCATGAGATAGAGGAGATGTTGTCGTGGGTGGCTGCGGTGTTTAGGTTCAAAGGTTGCTGGGATAGTCAGAGAAAAGGGGTGTTGACATGCTAGGGTTTTGTATTCTTATAGATAAATACATGAACAATTTGAAAAGTTAGATAAATATGGTACATAATTGGAATCTTTTTTTCACCACGTGGTTATTGTTTGGGAAGTTCATAGAGCTGTATTTATGGCTAAAATAGCTAATTGAGCCGAGCCAAATTGTAGATCATCACCTAACCGGGAACTTGGTGGGAGTACCCGGTAATCAAAGTGACAACGTTCAAAGGGTTAGTCGGCTGCAATTACAAGCATACCCTTCTATAATTAACAACAAGCTACCCTCAAAACCCCGTGGGCGAAACTAGGAAATCAAGAGAGATCTCCAAGTCATCTCACCTACCCCTTCCACTCCGTGCACTCCTCCTCCTACCCGCAGGGCCCAGCATTGAAAACCCGCATTCGCCAACGACACGTGCCCATTCACCAACGACACGTGCCTGTCTTCATGATAAGCTACTTGGCATATTCTTTCAAATCGTTCCCCGGTGAAGAATGAAAAGTTGAAATGAAGACCACGTGATTTTTGTATAGACAGCAGTGATTACCTAATACATCTGAAAGTGTTGGTGTGCAGAGTCACCTCTTTTGTTGCTTATACAAGTACGAGGTGGGCTTTATATATATATATACACTCTAATGTTTACTTGATTTTAATTTTTTTATATATTTTTTTTGTTTTTTATGATATTATTGTAATTTTAAATAAATATTTTAATATTTTATTTATATTTTATTTGTGATCAATTTTAAAAATATCTATTGTTATTATTGTAAGAATAGTTAAAAAAAAACTTCTCAAACCCTGCACTAATTCGCAAGTGCCTTTCACATATCATTAATTTTTTAAATAATATTTATATTAATCAAAAAACAAAACCTCTTTATATCAACTTGTTTATTACAGAGAAAAAAACAATAAAAAAATTAAAAAAATCTTTTTAATATAAGCTACAATTTTTGCATGTAAGGGTAATATAGTTTTTACATTGTATATATAAAAATTATTTAAAACTTAAAAATATTAAATTACACCTATTCAACCTTTTAAAATATTTTATTTTCAAGGTAATATAATTATTATATTGTGCAAATGACCAAATTATCTTCAATTAATTTTAAAATGACCAATGAAATCTTATAAAACGATTTTTTTACCCAGATATAAGGGTCACTGATTATTAATTTTTCTTGGAAGGATGAAATATTAATTATATTACTGTGGTGAATAATAATTTATATCTAGATACATAGTAAGTTCTTCGTATGTTTTAATTTTTTTTAGTGCCAAAAAAATCTCAGTCTGTCATTGATCCCAAACATGCTCTGAATTAAATAGATGAATGTTATTTGTAAAATAAATCTACTACGTCAATCTCAATCAATTTATTTATCTTTTAGAGTTACGAATATTTGTTTGGATTCTAGTAGTGTAACTCATGTTCTTCTTCTTTTTTTAAAAAAACATATATTTATATTAAGAGAACTTCTTGGTTTGCAAGATCTACACCGAAGCAAACTCAGTGCTTGATTTTTCCTGCTCTGAATATAATGGAGCATTGAAAAAATACTTACCTAAACCATTTCATTAAATATTAATCTATTGTGCAGTCCATTTACACACACACACACACACACACACGATTCCCGTTATATTGGGTGGACTGGTTAGAAATCTTTCCATGATTACGAATGGGCCTTTTGGGCCAAGGCCGAATACCAGCAAGGACATTGGCGTCGGTCCTTGGTTGAAATGCTCGGGCTTGGCTAGAATGTCTGGCTCAAATTGTTCAGAAGCCAGTTGAATCTGGGCACCTGCCCCGCATTCTTTCACACATCAAATCGCCCATCATCATCCTTCTTCTTCTTCCCCACTCTCGGAGAGGCAGGATGTCCTCCTTTTTTTGACGTCTTCTTAGGAAAATACACCAGCAATTGCTTCTTCTTCTTTTTTTGCTTTGTTTTTTTTATTTTCCTTCCCATGTTTCCAGGACTGATCTGAGATTCAATTTCAGCAAGGGTAAAATAATATAAATATACAACTAAATTAATTAAAATCCATAAATTATAAGTTTATAAGATAAAGTTAAAAAATTTACACAATGAGTGTAGAATTCTATTAAAAAAAATTATAAATGCTCTTTATGAAGCTATATATTTTAAAAATGTTATAGGATCTTATTATCAATATTTTTTAATTTTCTCTCTTTAATATAACTAACAAAATTATCATTCCATCAAATATCTTTCATAATTAATTATAAATTATTTATTTTAATCAATCAATTCAAATTCAACTACAACTAAACAACATAATTTAATCATCAACACTACAACAAATATTGAACATACATAACTAATATTTACCTTGGTTCTAAAAGTTCTTAGTCTCTCTTATTAAATAGTCAACTCTACTTTCATCATGACCACCTAAACTTTCTTCTTCAAATATGTTTTATTTGAGTCATTTATATCATATTTCATTACAAGAATATCACAATTTAACTTTTCTTCAATTTAACATTTTAAAATCGTAATTCAAAATTTATAAATTTTGCATAAATTTTGTTGATTTTTGCTTAAACTTGTATAATTGAGTTTATAACATCTTACCTGATACTAATATGAACTTTGAAGGTTAATTAATCAAAGTTTTTTTATCCTTTTTTTTTTAATCTTAATGTCATGAGCTTCCTCTTTTTATTCCCTTTCCCTCACTTAATTTTCCTTTTAATTATTAAGTTAGATGTGTTTAAACTCACTCTCATCGCGTTAAATCTTCTTTTTCTATGTTATAGTAAGGGAGCTCTTAATTTTTTTTCTAATTTTTTTCTAGCACTGGCAGGCAATTTTAAGAGGAAGAAGAAGTTGAATTTTTAATTTTCCCAACTTATTATAAAAATATTATTAATGAGCCTACATGTCATTTTGGGTCAGACTATTAATATTCTCGTATGTTATTTCCAAAATTAGATTACCCTAACATTTTAAACTAAGATAGAGTAATGTTTTAAGAGTTTTCTCGTAAAATTTCAGTTTAATTTGATAATAAATTTAAAAATTATATTCGATAATGTAAGACTGGCAGGTAGATGATTTCATGTCAAAATTCAAATTTTTGTATTTAATCATTGCTAGAACCATTTTTTTATTCTAAAATATATTTATTTTTTCTTTTTATTATCTGTTTTATTTACAGGTTTATTATAGTTTCAAAATAATGTTATACCAATATTTTTTCACACAATTCTTTTTTAACTTTTATTTTTCATTTCCGTTATTATAATTCATCGGAGTTATTTTTTTATTATCAAAACACATCTATTTTAGTTTATTTCTAGTTATTCTATTCGTTGAAACCTGTTACTAATTTCAACATGATACTTTATTATTTTTTTTTAGCAGTTTGGGCATGCACCCACATCGCCCGCATGCTGGATTCGTCCATGCATGTTTCAATGAAGAATTTCTTGCACGGTAAAAGTTTTAACCCTTTTTTTTCATATAATTATAAAATATTAACTCAAAATCAAGAGAGTTAAGACTGTTCAATTAGATATTCAACGCTGAAAAAAAAAAATTACTCGCAACTAACCTTTTAGAATCAATGCGTGTCCTCAGTATGTTTGGGTGTCCCTGTTTCAAGCTGTTTCACAGCTAACAGGGTAAAGTTAAGTTAACTAACGGTTTGTCGTCCATGTTTTTATAGCCAATGTTGAACGCCGGCCTTCTTTGTTTGATGAGCTTTCGCAGCACTTGACCTCCTGAGCACCTGAACAGGACTCCATTGAGCTGGTAAAGCACTTCTTTCTTAAAAATAAGGCATTGATCAAAGTAAAGAAGTTAGTTATTTTTTTTAATTTTCAGGGTAAATTATTAATCACACCTTGCAACAAAAAAGTGAAGAGATAAATTTATTCCGTTCAATTTGATAATACTAATTAACTCTTATAAAAATACTATTTTGCTCTCTGGTTTATGCTTCTTTGGCTTGTTTTGAGAATGACAAGAATATTATTGCATTCATAATATAATACAGTAAGCCAATGAGTCTTGCTCCTTGCTCCACATTGTTCCACTGAGTACCCTTAGGTTTTTTTTTTTTTTAAAAAAAAAACGAACCGGTCGCTTTCTGAAATTCAAATGGCGAGTACCGATCGTTTCATAAAGGAAACAACATCGCGAAACGATTGCAAGACTTTCTTGAGTTCTGAGGTTTAGAGTGGGCAGATGGCCTCTGCCATCTCGCATTGGGTCCATCCAGCTATGGTGTCGGCAAAAATAAAACTGTTGAATCCTGGCTACTTTAATTCACCCACAAGGGTCGCTTTACGTGCTATTCACGTCGATTTGGGGGTGGAGGCAAGCCAGGAGGGCCGGGGCCCTGGCTCCAGATATAAAAAGGTCCCTCGATCTTGTTTTTTGTACTCAGCAATCCTCTTAGAATATTCTTTTTTCTAAAAAAAAAAAAAAGTAATCACATTCTTTGCATGGGCACACAAGATTTTAATCTGAGCACATATGCCTATCACACCCAACGCAAAGCTCCTCCAATGTACAACGTTCACTCTCTTGTCTAGCGATCAAGAGAAGCCTCGTATTTCGGAGCACAATGTAAGGTATGTTCAGCTGCTTCCTGTCCAAATCCGCACATTTTTAAAATCGAGTGCAACAAAACTTTTTAAGTAGAAACTCGAAATATAATCGCTGGACTGTGACGATTAATTATGAATGTAAAGCTGGGCGTACTGCTACTTTATTCTCTCTTGTTCTTGTGATGAACTTGTTCGACCAGGTTTGTTTCTTTGACTGAGATTTCCAGATAACAATGAAAACAAAGGAGAAAAAGAGAAAAAGGGAGAGAAAGCAAGGGAATCTTCTCATTGATGATTGCATCTTGTCTTTTAATAAGCGGGACCACTGTTTCATGTGTTAAAAATTATTGGACCTGTCTTTATATGCAGTGTGTGTATTATATATATATACATCACACATGATTCCCATTTTGTCGACTGTAAAACTTGAAAACCAGAAGGGTTAAAATGTCAGGTTCAAGAAGTTCAAGGCAATTAAAGTAAATAATGGTGGCAATCCAGTTATTTAAATTAAATAGAAAACACATATACTTTTTTTACTCAAAACTCTCTCTTATTTCTTATTTTTGACAAAAAAAACGTGTCATTTTTATTATAAAAATGATTCTTTAAAAAAAATTAATTGCGACTTGAAAAGAAAATTTCAATACATGCCTTTATAATTTTCACACGAATGTATAGAAAATAAAACAATAAGTAACTTGATAAAACTATATAAAGAATAAAATATATATTTTATTTTGAATATTCGGTTTAGAAAACAATTCTTCAAATTAGGTTCAATTCATAGAATAATTGTTAATATAGTCATAGAAACTCTAATCTTATTGAAAAAACATGACGTAATAGGATGATTTTTCAAGTAATATTTTTATAATTTTATTTTAAGAGAATTTCATTGTAACTAATAAAAATAAAATGATTAGATAAATAAGCAGAAAAAGGTGGAGAGCCTAAAGAATAAAGTTCCTGCATGAGATAATTTTAAAAAATATGGGATAACGTGTTGTCCACGTAGACAGAGATGTATCATCTCCTACAATAAATTCCAGCTATATTTGATGGCTAGAAAATAAAGTTTTGAGTAACTAAGATACAAAAACCTAAATTTCCATATGTAAAAATATCAAAATATTATAAAAACCTCAAACTCTTCATTTTCAACCTTAGAACATCCTTCAATCAATCTAAAAACTGAAAATTAAAATGAATAAAAAGCTTAACAACCCCTAATATGTCTTTTCAACATGGTTACGAGGCAGGTTTCCCTTCATTAAACTCCTCTCTCAAATAAACTTGTTGATGACAAGATCGATTTTTTTTTATTATCAATTTAAAATTTTATCTCTCATCTGATTTTTTTTTCCAGTGACTTTTTCTATTAACAGTGAAGGATGAGGAAAATAAGATTTTAGAATCAAAACATAAACACCTAAAACTATATTTTGTAAAAACAAAATATAAGAATCAAATAATGCAAAAAAAAAACAAATTAAAGACTGAATTTAACTCTTCCAACCCTGTAGACACAGAAAAATGCATTGTAAGGCAACAATGCAATCCACAATATTTTGAATATTGAAAGCAAGGGCCACAGTATATTGTATAATAATGCAGTAAGCTTCTTCACGGGGCAAGTGCATGTGTTTTGTTTTCTTCTTTCAACCTGGTAGGGTAATATTGCAGGTGATGCGTGGACGGAGAAGGTAGATGCAAAGGCAAGGGACCACTGTCTGTTTATTACAAAGCATTATCAAGATGGCCCACTTGCCATCCTCTCTCTCTCTCTCTCTCTAAATATATATATATATATATATGCATTTCTTTAATTTAATGTGCCATTGAGAATGGACAAGCCCCAATACAAGCAAGTGAAGTGGTTAAAACGACAAAGAGCTTGTGGTCCATCGCCACTTCGATTCTTTAAATATTGGAGCACGTGGGAGCAAAAATCATGGGCAATTCAAAATATTTCACTTGATTTGCTTTCACTTCTTTCGGATCCCATAAGAATACCTCCAAACTTCTTACACCAAAAAGAAAAAGAAAAAAAATCCTTCACCTTCTTCTTTGTTTCCTGTTCTTTTAGTACACAACTCTAGTTTGGTTAGAATTCCGTGAGCTCTCAAATTGAGAGGGACCAAGCCAGACTCTAGCTCTCATCTCAAGAGAAATCTTCAAGATGGAAACGGTGTCAAGTACAAGATCCAAAGAAACAAATCACATGTAATCATGTGACTAACTAGGTAGTTGTACAGAACTATAAATCCTCATGATTAATCTAGTTCATGTAGCAACGAAAAGCATATTAAACAAAAAATAAATGAGCAAACATCTCTCTTGAGAGATTAAAGACATCCATTAATCGTAGAATTACGCACATGCACAAAATCAACTCTCTCCCTCGCCATCTTTCATGCTGCTACGAAGTCCAACTACCTTCATCAAGGCCAAAAAACCCATAAATGAACCCTGGAGAGCTCTGGTTGGAATATGTACCCTTTAGACCTCTGGTTGGAGTGCCGAGAATGCTTCTCAATCAGCGAGGACATTGAAGGTGAAGGCATCGTCAATATTAATTACTTCATTTTTCATTATCTTCTTGAATTAAAAGATGCTACTTTAATTAAACCTCGGTTAACCATGACCGACGTGGTGGATCTGATGCATCTAGCAAACAGTTTCACATACTCAATATGTTCTGAGAAGCTTTTTAGCCTAGACTCGGCCAGAAAGAAATGATAATATTCAACATGTAACCAAAGTCCAGGATTAAGAACGTAAAATAGGAAAGCTAAAAGACTGAGGTCGTTTTGCAGAGGCGGGTATCCAGTGATTGTTACAAAAGAAAGGGAAACAGAGTATCACACAGCTGAAGAATATTAATGGCAGCATTGAATTTGAAAGGATGAGCCTAAGCTGTGCATGCTAAGTGGAAAGCAACCTGGACAAATCATCAATGACAGGACCCATCACCCTTCAAAAATATCAACAGGGGCCGCTTCTCCTATTCCAAAATCGGTTGGTCGCTTGTGAGACACGAACTAATGATATCTCAAAAGATATGTACCAATTTCCACCTATTTGACAACTGGTTTTCAGTTCTCTCAAAGTTTGATTCAACTAAATTGATAGACCATTTCTCCTGAGCTTTTCTCATGCCTGCATATACCATTGCAAATTTGCAACACGTCGCTTTTCCTTAAAATTCAGATAACAAGGGGGTGACATAAAGCATACAACTTCATCCCTATCGAAACAGTTATATCCATACGGCATGTAGGTGGAGGTATTTAGTGCTACAAACAGGAAAAGTGAACAATAAGACAAGAGTGGAAACTGAACCTATGGAGATGGAGGCCAACCGTACAGTCCAGCATCAGCTCCTTCATAGAACCTGAGCTCAAGTTCCTCCAGCCTTCCCTCATCATCCCACATCTCATCATAACTCTCATCATCGTCATAGTCTCCCCCGTCACCAGCTAAAAATCCCCAGGCCAAGTAATCAGAATCATCTGAATATTCGGAGCAATCTTCTTCCCAATCATTTGCCTCATAATAGTCCTCCATTACAAGAGGCCCCAGTACTGTCAGCTTTTGGAACTTCTCCTTGAAGAACTTGTTATCAAGATTCACATTCCAGCACCCTCTCAAATCCATAAACTCAAGATTGGTACAGCTTGAAAGGATCTGCAATAAACTTTCTGTGCTAACAAGATGGTAAGCCATTTCTAAGCGCTTCAGCTTAGGCATGGTGGTGGCAATGGCATAAGCCTCATCATCTTGGGCTTCCAAGCCTTCTGTATCTAATGGGTGCATATTCCGGCACAGCCCCACAAGCAATTTGCAATGCTTTCCAATTGCCTCTAAAGCGCGCCCACTAATTTTATTACAGTAGCTCACATCCAAGAAAGTGACAGTGGAAAGCCTTCCAGCAATCTGTTCAACTATCGAATCACTAATATCACTTCTCGGAATCCGCAACGTCTGGAGGGAACCAGCACTTGCAAAAAGAAGAAGAAGAAGAAAATAAGACCCATATTGCAAAGTATCAGATCAAAGAACACCAGCATTGAAAGCAAATAGGGTCTGGCTCAAAGTGATTGAAAGCACGTTAAAGTCATCTCTACAATTTGGGCATACCAATGGGAGTTCTAAGAATAAAGATGAGCAATGAAGCATCAAAATTAGATAAGCATTCCCTATATCATTTGAAATTCTAAATGCAAGATGGAGGAGAGTTCTAAGAATAAAGATGAGCAACGAAGCATCAGAATTAGATAAGCACTCCCAATATCATTTGATAATTCTAAATGCAAGATGAAAGACTAGGAATAACCATTGGGACTGTAAATATCTAGTATAATCTAGTCAATTGAAAGCACGTTGTAGTAACACTTTTAATAATTGAAACGGGTGTTGCAAAAATGTAAAGTCCAGCTTACTGGTCTGCAAGGAATGAGAAATTTGTATCATTGTGGAGTCCAGAGACAGAGAGTTTGCGGAGGGATCCACAGCTTCTCGTGATCAACATTTGAAGCATGCGATCAAGGTGATCAGGATGGCACCTAGTACTCCATTCCTCAATGTTGATCTCTTGCCAGCAATATGGCCCTGAAACTGCTCTGCTCCATGATTTGCAAACCCTTGGGACCATGGTTAGTATCTCCTGAAGAGAAAGGTTGCGGAAAATCAGCCCAAGGGCATCTGGTATCAATTCATCCCAACGACGATACTCATCTCCCTCTTCCATGTAACCTGACTCCATACAATTAAAACAGTAGTTAGATAAATTTGTCTCTACAGAAAAAGAACTACGAGAAGTGGGCAAAAAAATCAACAATTAGGCAACCTATTTAAGCATGAAAATGACGTCTCGTTCAGGAATTTTAATGGAAAAGGATTCGTCTCCAGGAATTTTAAGAGAAATTGCTTGGAAAGCCAATAAAATTCAAAGAATCGATAAAAAGTATGAGAAGAAGTTGAAGATCTCTCCTTACTATCTACTTTTCGCTAGAGATAATGAAAGATGAAATCTTTATACGAGATACCAGTAAAGATGAACAAGAAATTGACAATTACAGAATTGTAAGAGCGCAATAGAGAGTGCATGCAAGGCAAAAGGTAAGAGAAGAGGAAAGAGGAAAAAAATAAATCGCCAAAACAGCAAGAGAAAAGAATGGACTAACCAAATGAAGAAATTAGAAGCGAAAGCTACCTTGATAATAACAAAGGACCAAAATTTGGGTTAATCGTAACAAATTACTTAAAATCTACTCTTAACAGGAAAATCTGGCAAAAGACACTCAGAAATCTAAAAGAAAAAAATGGACATTTAAAGCACCTTCACAGATCCATCCAGATAAACCCTCAAAAAGAAACTGCTTGGAAATATCATTGGTAAGGAAAATAACCTTACTCGCGAGACAGAAACGCAAGAGACCTCATCTACATACTAATGCATGCATCAATTGAGAAATCCAAGCACATTATAGTGCCCGCTGAGTCTACCTCACATAAAACATGATGGGTAATGAGGTTTGAGCTAAAACTGTTCTTGGCTGGTGAAAACACTTGACTGTGTTTTTTACATTGCAGACCAAAGTAACAGGCGAGCCAGAGTTTTTCATTTTCTTATAAACGATACAGAGAGAAGGAAAACAATGGCAAATCGGACCATGTTTCTTACACACCTGGAAGAAGTGAACTTTCCCTTTCCTTCTTTCTTCGGGAATTGGATTCTGCAAAAAGATAAAAAAAAATAAAAAATCACCGGTTTATTCGCCAGAAACGCAGGGGAAAAGAGGGGAGAAGGTAGAGAACAAGAGAGGCAAGAGAAGGAGGGAGAAAGCTACAAGATTATAGACCCATCTACCCACCTAACTAGAACAGCATCAATGCTAGCAGCAGCAGCAACAACAAGAGTAAAAACAAAAAAGTGGAAGGGCAAGTGGTTGTGTAGGGAGCTCAAAAACAAGCAGCAATGTATTGTACCTTTCGGGAAAGAAAATTATTAAAAGTGACAGAAGACTTTTAGTTCTATCTTCAAGCACTTCGATACTTTGGTTTCCGACTGTGTGTGCTTATAAAGAATTTTAAGTAGGTAAAATATAAGAGTGAATTGATTAAAGATGTAAAAATAAAAAATAACAAAAAATTTGGTGTCAAGTGTTAAGAGAGATTTTATATTAATCTGGGCATTACGGTGAATTGTGAAGCCTAGCTAATCAGACGTTCATGCTTAAAATGACTTAATTTTTAATTCTTATAGATAAATTAATATTCTGTTGCGAATTCATATTTTTTTTATTAATATTATTTGGTATGCTTTCTAGCTCAGTCATGCTTAAAAAAACTTGTGTTGAGAATATTCAGTGATAATTAAAAAAAGATATCGGGAATACTGGTCCATCCCACTATATATCAAATCTATTTTTGCATTGAAAAAATAATGTACATTCCTGATCCTAATGTAAGAATAACAAAAAAAAAAAAAAGAGTTGTATTAAAAAACAAAAAAGGAATGATAAAAATTTTAAATCTTGTCAAGAAAACTTGTATTCCTCTATTTAACTCTCTTTTTTTAGAGTTAAATACTGAAAATTCTTCTTTCTTTTAAAATTATATTAAACACGAGTAAAATGGATAAAGATTACAGATTATAAAAGTAACTTTTCTCCTATTTTACTTTCATAACAAACAAAGCTTCAAAAGTGCGAAGCTCGTCCGAGTGATAAGGATAGCATTAGATTAACCATTGGTCTTATCTCATGTATTTTAGCAAGGCAAAGAAAGAAAGAAAGGGATAAAACAAATTATTGAATATCAATCATTGCTATTCATCATACATGCGCAATACCAATTAAAAAGCCTAAAACAAGATGCTTCAAACACCATCTTAAAAAACGGTATCTAAACAATAAATAATAATATCTCATGTGTAAATATAATTTTTTAAAATAAATTTTATGACTATTAAAAAACTATATTGTCAACTTTTTATTCATTAAAAAACTAGTTTGAAAATAAAAAAAAAAACTTTTTTATATACGCTTAACAAATTTTACTTTTAAAAGTAAAACAATCTCTACAATCTCTACAACGTACCTCTAAAATATAAATAGGTTAAATATTGTTAAAAAATATATTTTTTTAGGCACATCATGAAAACATCGCATGAAAGAAAAAAATATTTATTTAAAAATAATATAGTTTTTATATTACGTATTTGAAAAAGAAAAAGAAAGAATTGTTCATGTCAGTCCTATTGGTTCACGTGAAAAGAATCAAATTACCTATTTGTTTCTTTTCTTGGAATGATTATTCTTATTTACAGTGAAATATGTCTAGTTGTGCAGTAAATCCACTACCCGTTCATTTTTTCGTAATGTAACATATAAATCATAGTATTATTGGTTAACGAAAAGAAAAGAATTGTTGCGCTGTGTATCCGTGCAAGGTCCTTGACAAAACAAATAAATCGAGTGACAGCCACAAGTTCCAAATGGGCCCTGTAAAGAGGAGCACCGACAAGAGCCATGTCTTAAGAGTTTCGAGAAGAGAGCAGCCTGAAGGCCCGTGTGAAATGGGCCAGGTTCGGCTGAATGGTGGCATCTAGTCGACCAGAACTGGAGTTGGATTTATTTCTTAAGAGAATCAAAGGTAATTATCCAGATAATGGCATCTGGAAAACCCAGCCGACAGCAAACAGCGTTCCACCCGTTTTTATCCGCCCAGGTGTGAGCATATTTCTGGGATATGAAGCACGGCAACATTAATCTGACTGTTTAATGGACTGGACCGGTCACTGGAGACATACTGTTCGAACTTCGAAGATATTCAAGGAGTAGGGGACCCTGCAGGGTGCCCCGGTGATGCTCAGTTAAAGAACAAAGTCCTATGCGGCCTGATCACAGAATTCATGTGCCGCCTGCCTCTTCACAGGAGCGTACTTTATTGGCCTCCACTCCGTTTTTCCACATGAATATGGACACTGAACGGAGCCCCGATTTTCCTTGTGGCGTTGGGGCCATGTAGGGTTGTTGTTTATGTCAACGTCATGTCACCACGACAGCTTCAGAAAGAAATTCGATCTCTCCCTGAAATTAATTTCGGCGTGCATGAACGTCATCTTAAAGGGTCCACCTCTTATCGGGACCGTAGGTAACGATGTAGAAAGCTCAGTCCATCGGCGCACCATTTGAATTTATTTTACTGTTTTTAACCATTCATCATCTTACATTTGTCTGTATCAACCACTGTCTAGTTTATGATTAAAAGGAATCGGTATTTTAGAGCGTGTTGAAATTCATTGTACTGTAAGTAAATTGCAATGGTGTAATGGTATTTATGCCACCCAGGTAACAACCTATGAAGTGAAAATTAGGGGGTAAAAATGGTTTCTTCCCTAGATTCATTTAACATCATCGAATTAGTCGGGGTAAAATATTATTTTTTATCTTTATCATAATAAAATTACGTGATTATCTTAAAACAAAACAATTAAATTAGTGTCCAAGAGTGACTAGAGCGCTCTTAAAAACAAAACTTACTAAGCTAATTTCAAGTAGCGGTTTTTATGTTTTTATTGTGTTTTTTTATATAATAAAGCGCATTGAGATGTATTTTGATATTTTAATAAAAATAAATATCATTAAAAAAATTATTAATGATTGCATTATATACACTAGTAATGTGTGAGCGCGTGTGCGGTGCCCCCCACTCTAGACAACATTTGTAGTGCCGCTTGAAAGCCAAGTGCTATCTTCTAATATGGCATTAGAATATCCTTGGCAGCCTTCCATGCTTAGGCAGTGCATGTTGAGACCGGTCTCTAGTTTGTCTTTTCCACTCTACTCCTCAATTCTCATACCAAACCCTTCATTTTTTCAAGCCAATCCTTTAATTTGGTTTTCCTTTATATTTGATTCATGTTTTTTATTACCTGTTTTATTTAAATTGGTTTATAAAGTTAGATTTTTTTTAATTTTATCCTTTTTAATTTTTTTTCATTTATCATTGGCTCCATTCTTTTAATTGTTGTTTTTTTATTCTTTTCTTGGTTTATTTGTTATCGTTATCTATTTTTTATTATCTGATTAAAATAAAACTAACTTATTTATTCAATCCAATTATAATACATTTCATATATTTTTTAAAAAATACATTTGCGTGATTTAAAAATTATTTTTGGTGCAAAGGAAAAACAACTCAACTAAAAAGTGAATCTAAACATCAAGACCGCTAACTCATTACTGAAAACCAACGAGTTTTCAAGAAAATTCAAATATGTTTGAAACACTTTAATTTTAAATAATATTTTAATTTTAATTTTAATAAATTATTATATTCAAACCAAAATATGTATGATTTGTATAATATTTTATCCCTTTTCCAATTTGGTATCAAGATTTGTTATTTCGTTGATCAAAATTGAATTTAGAAATTTCCCATCCAAAAAATTAAATCAAACAATAGTAAAATTTTAAAATATAAAATATATAGATTTAAATTCTCAATTGTTCTTGAATTTTGAAATAAATATTATTGTACCATCTCTTGATTTTTTAATTTTATTTTAAAAAAAGGGTTTAGTTGTAATATAATAATGATTCAAGTAATACATAATTCAACTTCTATATTATTTTGAATTTTTAAACAACTTGAAGGATTTTGATTTTGATTTTGATGTCGATTGATTAAATATACAAGATCTGTTTTTTTTTTTTTGTTTTTATATCTCACTCAAAAATATTCAATATAAATCTTAAACTGAAACCTGATATAAATTATTGATTGGTTTAAGTAAAAGTAATTTATAAAAAATCTATACTAAGAAATTGTGATTTAAAGTTTTTCTCATTTTCTAACTCTGTCAATATTTCAATATTTCCCCCTTTTATATATGCATATATGGTAAGATAGATCAATTGTATATTTTACTTTTTTATTATATGACAAAGTATTATTGATCAAGATTTAAATATGATGACACATGAATAAACTACACAACTTAACACGGTATTCGGAATTTTTTTTTTTTTAATTCAATCAAATTATATCACAACTTGGTTGAACTTGTCAGACATTATTTGCTTTGGTTTATAGGTCTTACAAATTTATTTTTGATAACCATGTATGTTGTCAAAACGTATCTGACAAATTAACAACCAACATTATTAATAATATCAGTTATCACGTCCCCACCCAACGACGTGTGATATTGTAATTTATCTTTCTTAAGGAACCCTATGATCCCTTCGACACAACCGAACATCTGGCAAGGCTGATTCTAATACAAAGTATCACAACCCGACCCAACCTGCTAGATATTGTTATTTTTAGCCTATAGGGCCTCGCGGATTTGTTTTGGTTAATCACTCAAGGTTCCAAAAGGTGTTTAAAAAGCTAGCAACCAATCCTATTAATAATGTTAGGTATCAAATCCTCACTCGCTGATATGAGATATCAAATTTAAAATATAGAGAAAAAATAATTTTTTATACTTAAAATTTTATTTTCTTATCCGCGCCAATTTTTACAAGTAGTGTGAATTATTGATTGAAAACCTAAAATAATTAAATTAATAATTGCAAGAATTGAAGTGATTTAAATCATCGTAGAAGAAAAAAAAAAGCCAAAACCCTCCTTCCTTGTCCATGTTTTTTTCCCAGTGAAAACATGTCATTTTTATTATAAAAATAAATTTTTTAAATTAAAACTCAGTGCCATACAAGAAGAAATTCCAATAGAAAAACAAACAAATAATGTTGTAACAATTCTAATGCAAAAGTTCAAAAGAAGTAAAAAATAATTAAATAGATAAATTATATAAAAATAAAAGTATTCTAATTAAATATTAATGAGTAATTTTTTTTAAAATTCTATATATTAGATTTGTATAATTTTTATATAAATGAATTGTCAGAATTACCGTAAAAGCTCAAATGTTATTTAAGAACTAAGGTATAATTGGATAATTTTTTAAATTTCTTTTTAATAATTCTAATTAAAAACTATTTTACTACAAATTAATAAAAAAACCCAGGAGCCAATTTCCTAGCCAAAGCGAGCAGCAAGAAGTCGTTTTGTATGGCTAGGCAATTAGTCATTGCCTTATTCAAGCTTCAACCATCTTCGGACAAAAAATTAGGACCAACTTATTTATACCTCAAAAACGCAATTTACCATCTATTTTCATTTAAAAATATCACATGAAATTCAATAATCCTACCAACAATCTCAAAACTAAATCAAATTGATAGTTTTTTCAAGTCCAGTTCTATATTTTTCAGCATTATTGAAGGTGAAAACAATTTCAATTGAGTTCATCTCTTAAAGTTAAATCCATAAATATCAAAATATAAATTATTGGTAGCTAGAATCTAACCACCCCTAGCTCAAATTTAACTTTTTAATCGACCCTCTCTCATTTCTCAACCTTTAAGAACTTAAACATTATAAAATAAATAGAAGCTAAAACTCTACTTCTGTGAAAAAAACCTCTACTTCTTCTATGTTAATTTCAGCCCTTCATTTCTCAATTTATTTGTTAAATGGAAGCTAAAACTCTTATCTTGTAAAATCATTCGTGAATTTAACGAGAAATAAGATTCGATGAACGAATTACAAACTTTGTGAGCTATAGAGACTGAACCATTAAAATGGGGCAAAAATGCAAAGTGACGAAACAATGCTTTATGAGATGTACGCACAGTGAATTATGAACAGGGAATCCGATAGTCAGGTGAGGCGAAGGAGTTGTAAGAAAGCGTTTAGAAAAGAGATGAGGTAAAAAAAAAATAGAGAAAGACCATAGTTTTTAATTTCAACGAAGAAGCAAGAATCTTCCCATTCATTCTCCCCCGTACCCAAAAGAGGTCGCTTCCGTTCAAGTTGTGTAGGACGCAGATAGAGCGAGTCAGCAAGTGCTTTCCAGATGGAGGGTGATAAAGGTGACAGTTGAGCAGTGTCCTTTGACTTGACTTGCTCAATCCGATTGGCAGCAGTAAGGGATTAAAAGGAGAGAGCAGTTTTATTACCTATGGCCTACGGGCCAAGAAATCGGGGTTCATTCCTTCGGCCATGCAGTTCTGTTCTCCTGCGACGGCACAATCAATCCCCTCGCCCACTGTGCCTCCGGAATCCAGGGGTGAACCATCCAAACCAAGTTATAAAAAAGCTATCGATGTTCATTTACTACGAAGAGCCAAGTCCTCGATTTTAATTGCTCAAGCGAAAAGAAAACAGGGAATATTTACAAACAGTCCCTCATTTAAATTGATCGTTTTCGTGTAAGGGCTCTGAAAATTCAAGCTCGACATTTTGGTATAGCACTCCATCATGACTACCACATCAGCCCGATCAAACAATGGAGGAAACATATTAATCCCTGCATGCCATGTGCTCTAGACTAACAGATATAAATTGATCCCTCAACCATTCGACAGACAACTATTTGAACCACCATCACATATGTAGTACAGCAAACGGGTAGACAATTATCTGACAATGCATCATCTGCATGGTCATTTTAGGACGAAACTAGGAAGAAAAGAAAAACTGAGAGAGGAATAGCTTAATGAGTTCATAGTAGTATCATATTTTAAACTGTCTATTGTAGCGAGTCACAGTGAAACCCCGTGGAGAATCCACCCTCTTGGTTCCATATCATACGTTCTTATAGAGCTGATAAACGCACTACTCCCTGGAAGAAAAAGGAAACAAAAAAAAAAAACTAATCAATATATATATAAACAACATTAGGCTTTCTTTTGAAAGAGTAGGCTAAAATTACAGATCACAAACCAGCTACACTAACATATACCATTCAAAATTTCTCTACTAAGCGAGCCAATTAAAGACTACATAAATACTTTCCAAGTCACAGTTGGCAGTGCAATGACCTAAAAAATAAAGAAATGTTTTAATCATAAACAAATCAATAACATACAAGCACATATCTATGTGGTAAAAAAAAAAACCAAATGGATTCTGGTTCCAAGTTTTGAGTAACATTGGTATATTATTAGGTGAACTAATCAACACCATTGAACCAATACGTAAGTCAGCAATCTCCAGGAATAAGGTAATATCTTTATGGAAATCAATTTAAGGAAACCGTAAAAATAAAATGGAGATCCCGCAATGAACTGGCAATAATTGGCAGAAAGTTGTACATAGTGTTTCGTCTAGCCAGAGTCAGTAAGCTTATATCAACTAAATTATAAAAGAACAAAAGTGGTCACTAGACAAATCAAAATCCCAATCAATGATGTATTTGATTCTTCATGAACTAACCTACTAAAGTTCAAAGACAGGCAACATGGTCTGCCTCGAGTTACATTACATACCAGTTTACTTCAAGTGAAGTTTATAGAGCTGCATGATGCAAGGATAAGTAATTTTCAGCTTGACAAGTTGAAGTCATTTTACCAATTTCGAACAAGGCACACACTGAATGAAGGAGGAAATATTTAGAGAATGGTGAAAAAGCTAGGTATCATAACTTTTAATCATCCATGCCAACAAAGGAGCCAAAAGGGGGAAAAGGTGGGGAAGAAGTATATTTTGACACCATCTTGAATGAAAAGGACCATGCTGAACATACCACGAATGAGTTAACAAACCATGAAAGTTCTAGCACCATTTACTGTGAGGTTCTAAATTCCAAGCAACTAATGTCCATGCTTGCCAATAGCTGGTGTTGGGAGCTTCTATAGGAAGCGAATAGGATATCAACCAAAATTGGCTCTTTATTGCCCCACAATGATGCTGATGAAATCAGACTGTTCCACTGGAACATAAAGGAAGCCGGTATCCTCCACGCAAGTTCTCACAGTCAAGAACTGAATTGGAATCCATAAATCAGGAAAAATTCTACAGACATTCCAGGTGGAAAATATCAAAAAATGCTATGGCAATCAAATACAAGGACACTTAATAATAAGGAAAGTTAGCTATAACACCTGGCATTTAAGAGATCCCGGGTCCAGACATGAATGCAATAGCTAGACAATTTGATAGACTAAAAAAAAGGTTTATAATTGATGACTTCAATTCTATCTTCATTCAAGGGGTATCTTGCTGCTCACAAAAATCTTTTATTTCAAAAAATTGTTTTCCTCACATGAAATGGAAAACTTTTAACACCATCAACTGGAATAACCACAATAACACGAACTTTCAACGCAACTCCCTAAACCTAGACACAATATGCAAGAAATCATTTCCCAATAGCTTGCCCTAGAAACATTGACCGAAGTATGGAGGGAAAATATAACAATAACAAAGTAGACCTTCTGAACTTGAGAAAAGTATAAGAAATTCTTGAAGAAGCAAACATTAGGCAAGACAATAGAGTTCCGACTAGAGATCTGTGTAGAAATCACGCTCAGGCAGTGGCAACTGCTGCTTGCCCTTTAAGACTCATGAGCTGGATGGTTTAATTGGATATGGACAGTTAGACTTCATGCAGACAGCTTATTCAATTCATATAATATTTGATATCACACATAAAAACCTACATTGAAGCAATCAACCTCCTCTATACATTGATACAAACATTCTGCTAAGAAAAGTAACAATTCGCACAGCATGTAAAATCATAGTGAATAAGAATCAGAAGTGTAACGCAAAGGCTACAAACTACTTCCAAGTAAATCAACTAGTATTCCAAGAAAAGAAAAACTATCTATTAAAGACAGAGCTATCAATCTTGCAGTTGCAACCTGTGAAATAGTCACCATGCATGTAAGGTAGCCAATTATAAACTCAACTCGTGCCAAGCTAAAAAATGCACTGTACTCTATATCTATTCTTCATGACAATATCCATTTTCATCTCCACTAATAAATTTAATAGCACTGCATTATATAAACTCCTAATTCGCACAAATTAGAATGGAATAACCAATGCACCAATTAGTCATGGAAGAGAAATAAAAACCCATACCACTGAATAAGCGACCCAAACAGGAAATGCTGCATAATAGGCACTTTCTCCAACACTTCTGCTCTATACATTTTAAGCAGCCCGCTATTCACCTTGTTCCAATTAGGCACTCCGCTGATATCATCCAACAAAGGCGAGTGCTCAGCAAACAACCCCTTCTTCACCTTCTTAATGAACACAATGCATGAAAGATACATATACTCATTCGAAAAATTCTCCAAAATATCCTCGTTGTGAATAGACTTGGGCTTCATGAACTTATGATTAATCAACTGCGATGATCCAAATATATACGGCAAGAAATGATAATCATCAAGCCCCCAAACACCGTGCGAACCCGCAGGCTCCAGATTATAAACCAATTGCAACTTCCTCATTAATTCAATATAATTAACAAAAACTCTAGAAACTAGAGCTTGATAATCAACTTCCTCTATAACCCCCATCCTAGCCAAACAATACAACCATGCGGAGAAATTAGTTTCATGTCCAGTCCCGTAATCAATCCGGCTCGAATTACCAAAACTATCGGTAAAATAAGGAACGATCTCCACCATTGAAGATTTTAAAAGTTCGGGCAAAATCTGAAGCATTAAACTCTCGCTATTTTCTACCAAACGGTTATGCCAGGTGCGGTAAGAGATGTTACCGTATCGAGAAGATTGTTGAGCAGGAGGGATTTCTTCAGTCCACTGAATTAGGGTTTCGATAATAGACACAATCTTTTTCACAGTTGTGGATTCGTGAAAGGAATCGGAGGTTTTGTGGGACCGTGTAGATTCTGAGAGAGAGACTATGAAGCCAAGGAAGTTCTTAGAGGAATCGGAGTTGATGAATTGGCGAATGTCGTCAGGGGAGTGGATTTTTTTGGAGGGGGATTGAAAGGTGTGGGGAAGGGAAATAGCGAGTACCTTTTGGGATTGCGGGACTGGGGCGAGGATTATGGCTTGCGAATTTGTGTTTGGTGGCGGATTTATAGCCGGGGAACGGATAGGACGGTAGGTTGGAGGAGGGGAAATTTCTGACCATGGGGATTGCTTGGGTGGTGGATGGAAGGAGGTTGAGCCGGCGCATTTAACGCTGGTTGAGGAGGCGCATGTAGGTGATGCTGGAGTTGTGCGGGATTCTGAAGGCTCCCGGTCGTTGTGCTCTTGGGTTTTTTCCATTTTGGTACAGGAATGGAGGGAGTCTGAGACTGCGGGGAGAGGAAGGAAAGAAAAAGTGGCGGCATGCAGTTCAATTGGAGGCTTCTCGCGCGGAAATGAAAGAGTCCTGGAGCTACACGATTGGGCCTATCCTGAGCTAAACTTTCAGTGAGTTCAAAGAACATAATTTTAGGGAGCCCATTTTCATGGGCTCTTAGGAGAAACCCATCATCACCATGGCTCACAAAGAATTGAATGCTTTTTTGTTTTTATCAAGAGTGCAAGGTATTTTGAAACCAACTTATACAGCAGCAAACCTGAATCTCATCCTCAAAAATTCTCAAGGCACGCCTTTCACACTATTCAATATATCTAAGTAGATGTATTTTTAAAAAAATTAAAATTAAAACAATATCATCTTAATTGGCACGGATCAAACTAAATTAATCTATTTAATTTATAACTCAAGTTTTATGCTTAGATCATAATATTTAATCAGCAATTTAATAGGGTTTTTTAATTTTTTTTCATGATTAAACTATATGAAAATTAAGATTATATTTGGCTTATCAACAAAGTTAATTGACTTTTCTGAATTTGGTAAATAATTTTTTTATCTGAACATTCTAGATTTATTAGATTAGTGTATCCGTTAATTGAGGTTTTGCTTTTGCACAGGGAGGGGTCTCTCATTATACATTTTTTAAAAAATAAATTCTTGTTCAAACACTAAAATTAAGGGATGGAGAGAATTTTTATCCATTTGACCAATTTCTTAATTTTTTTTTAAAATGAACTAGGACTGGTCCTTGTACGAGAGAAAGGCTTGTAAAAATTCACAATACTAGGAACCCTGATATATATATTTTAAAATTACATCAGGTCTTTTATAATTGGATAAATTCTTTGTTTTGCTTTTATATTTAAAAAAAATTACACTTTACATTTTTATTCAAACTAAAATTTCAAACAATGATTGTACCTCGTGCGCGCGTGTGTATATATAATATTACACATAAAAGCAATCGAAATAAC